TGGACAAGGTGAACGAGTTCGGGGCGTCGGAGGTCGTCGAGGAGGGCTCGTTTGACGACGGGAAGCTGGACACGGTGAACGAGTTCGCGACGTCGGAGGTCGTCGATGCGGGCTCGTGATGCGAGGAGACGCAATGCGGGTTCGTCACGTCGGGGGTCACCGTCGGGGGCTCCCAGTCCGGGGGGCTCGAGGAGAACGTGGGCCGCGCGATGCACTTGCTGGTGCAGGGGCTCGTCGTGCAGGGTTCGGTGTCCGAGTCGGAGGCCTTGCTCGGCTCCTCCAAAGTCCAGGCCGCTGTGCGCAAGGCGTTCGCAGGAGTGCTCGGAGGAGGAGGCCGAATGGGTGGGGGGGGCGGTGGCTTTTTTCAGGGGCCGCCGGCCCGCCACCACCCTGGCCTTATTCTGCTCAGGGGGGCGGGGGGGACTAGAAAAAGAGCAGGAGGAGCAGGAAGAGGAGCAGGAGGAGGAGGAGGAGGAGGAGGAGGAGGAGGAGGAGGAGGAGGAGCAGGAGCAGGAAGAGGAGCAGGAGGAGGAGCAGGAAGAGGAGCAGGAGGAGGAGGAGGAGCAGGAGGAGGAGGAGGAGGAGGAGGAGGAGGAGGAGGACCGCATGGCGCGATCAGGATGGACGGAGGGGGAGGAAGAGGGACGATAGGGGGGGGGGAAGGAGGAGGAGGAGGAGGAGGAGGAGGAGGAGGAGGAGGAGGAGGAGGACGGAGGAGAACGAGGAGGAGGAGAACGAAGAGGAGGATAACGAGGAGGAGGAGGAGGAAGAGGAGGAGGAGGAGGAGGAAGAGGAGGAAGAGGAGAAAGCGCCAGTACCATGAGAGGTTGATGGCTCACGATCCTCAGGGCCGAAATAATGGCTTCAGCCACCTGTAGGGCCGAGCAGCGTTAGGAATAAGCAGCGAGTATTCGTTGGGCAGTTTATTTAGCCGGCGCAACTTTCACAACATCAAGCTGTTGCGGGAGCGTGCGGGGTGATCCGTCTTGCTTTGCTTCGCGGCCACTGCCTTAGCTATGTGGTAGATATGTATAGAAGCTAACTGTGGTGGCCAAGATCGCATTTTCACGCATGATGTCCAGGGCAGGATACTGGACAGGGAGGCCGAGTGCGAGGCGGAGGTTGAGGTCTACTTGTGGCGTCGGTCCAAAGCGCGTTTTACGCCTGTGGGAGACGGTGGCAAGAACGCTTAAAAGAGTATCTGAGGAACTTGCAAGCCTGAGAAAAAAGCTTCGCAGGAGCCCAGGAAGAGCTTGGAAGGAGCTGCGGAAAGGCTTCCCAGCATTGGGAACGAGTAGGACAACCCCCTCCGGACACGCTGCGAGTTCACAGGAGGCGCTGCGAGGATGCCTGCCCGGGAGCGTGGAGAGGAAGCTGGCCTACCCTCTGCCGCCATTTTCTGGCTGAAACCCTCTTGGCTCTCAGAGAGCTATCCGGGACATCTATCGATAGTGAAGGAGCCCCAGGACACACAAATAAAAAGATTCCCCATACTTTCTCATATTTTCTGGGTTTTTGTCTTCCCCCCCATTTCCTATATTTTCCCATCTTTTCTGGGGAATCGACGATTGCTTGTGTCTGTGTGTTTCTTCCCTCCTGAGATAGGGCCGCTGCAGCTAGGGGGGCCGCTGCAGCTAGGAGGGCCGCTGCAGGCTAGGAGGGCCGCTGCACAGCGGATCACCCGAGGTCGGGGAACCCGGCTCCCGACTTTGAACGAAGGATTGCAAAAAAAAACCCTTCGACGAAGGATTGCAAAAAAAACCCTTCGAAAAAGGATTGCAAAAAAACCCTTCGACGAAGTTTTTTTTTTTTTTTTGCAATCCTGCGTTTTTTTGTAATCCTTCGGTCGGGGAGCCCGGCTCCCGACTTTGGGGGCGGGCCTCCGCCGAGCCCCGGGGAGACACTTCTCGCCCCCGCGCTGTCGAGGGTGGGCCGCCGGTCCCCCCTGCAGAGTGCGACGTTTTGCAGCACCGTGGAGAAGCCGCCGGAGATAGAGCGAGAGGAGGAGGAGGGAGGAGGAGGAGGAGGAGGAGGAGGAGGAGGAGGAGGAGGAGGAGTAGGAGGAGGAGGAGGAGGAGGAGGAGGAGGAGGAGGAGGGAGGAGGAGGAGGAGGAGGAGGAGCAGGAGCAGGAGGGGGAGGAGGAGGGGCTGGCAGCAGCGCGAAGTTGTGAGCGGAGGCGCACTGCTCCGCCAACGGGTGATCAGAAGCTCCCCCACAGCTAGACGGACCCAGGTCGTCCAAGTTGAGCTCGGGGTCACCGTTCTTCCCAACTTCGCGGCGTGGCGGCAACTGGATGCGCCGCTGCAGGACACACAGGGGCCTGCAGGGATCTGGTCAGAAATTCCAGAGCTGACCTTTTAAGCGGGAATCTCGAGCCAGTCGGACAATGCAAGACAACGTTCCTCTTGACATGTTCACGTCCAACATTACGGACGCGGCCCACTCTCTCCGCGGAACTGGTACTCAGGTGATCAGTCCTTCCAAGAACCGACCCTCCCCGAACACGTTGGCTGGAAGACAAAACAGCACGCTGGACGGCTAACAACCCATACAACATATCCGTAACCTGCCGGCCTCTGCGATCACAGCCACGTCTTCGTCCAAGATCTGCACTCTCGCAGCGGCGGCATTGGCAAAGTGATCGGCGGCACGGTTGAGGTACAGTTCAACATCTAAAAACAACATGGTTCGGCTATGAGCTTCGGTGGGGTGTCCCTTGGTCAAGATGACGTTGATGCAGCCACCACGTGCCCGCATGGTACGATGGTATTCGGTCCACAGGTCCTGCATTTCAGAATTGATCCTGGCCTTCAGGGCCGTCGAGCTCCTTTCACAACCCCTGCTAGGCAATCACCAGAGATTCGGCAGTGACCTGTGGTACCCTCAGCAAGCTGAAAGGAGAGGAGGCGGAGGATGGGACAAGAAGGAGGAGGAGGAGGAGGAGGAGGAGGAGGAGATGGCGCACCGCGTGGCATAGGATGGAGGAAGAATGAGGAGGAGGAGGAGGAGGAGGAGGAGGAGGATTAGGATTAGGAGAAGGACGTATGGATAAATGGTCGCATGGATGGATGGATGGATGGATGGATGGATGGATGGATGGATGGATGGGGAGGAGGAGGAGGAGGAGGAGGAGGAGGAGGAGGAGGAGGCCGCCGATGATGGGAAGGCTCGGCGGCGGCCGCGTGGGATAGCTGAACCCGGCGCACTCCCCGACGAACGAGTCGCACGCCACGGCGCAGCTGGGGGAGAGGCGTGCAGAGCGGCGTGCCCAGAGCAGGGGGGCGGGAAAGGCTCGCTCGCGCCCATCGTCATCGTCCTCGTCCTACAGTCCCCCTGCTCCCCCGATCCCCGTCCTCGCCCTCCCTGTCGTCGTCCTCCTCCAGATTCCCCCCAACCCCCTTCTCCCCTGCGTCTCCTGCCATCTCCTACTCATGACCCTCCTCCTGATCTCCTCTACCCCTCCCCCATCGTCATCATCGTCGTTAACCTCCTCCTCCTCCTCCTCCTCCTCCTCCTCCTCTTCCTCTTTCCCTTCCTCGCCCTCCTCGCTCCCCTCCGCGTCTCGATCGCGCACGTCCCCCTGGCCCGCTCACGTCCTCTTCCTCATCCTCGTCCTCTCTCCTCGCTCATGCTTCTTTGCCTCGCTCTCCTCCTCACAAGCATGCTGTATCCAATATGCGGCAATCGCCAGGATACAAGCACTCTCCAGGCGGTCTGCCGAGGGTAACGCGCTCATGCCAACAGCATCAACACCATCATCAGCATCAACACCACCATCAGCATCAGCCGTATCAACCTGAGCATAAGGAGCAGCAGCACAATCAGCAGCATCATCATACCCCTATCAATAGTAATAGTTCCATCCATATTCAAATTCAGACTCATCATCATCATCATCATCATCAGCAGCATCATCATCATGATCAGTATCATCACCATCATCACCAGCAATCATCACCACCATCAACATCACCATCACCATCACCATCACCATCACCATCACCATCACCATCATCATCCTCCTCCTCCTCCTCCTCCTCCTCATCATCATCATCATCATCATCATCATCATCGTCATCATCATCAGCACACTCATCCGCAGCATCATCAACAACAACAACATCATCATCATCATCATCATCATCATCATCATCATCATCACTTGTGTAGTCCAAAACCCGGATAGCAGAGCGCCCGAGGGCGGGGAAAGGCAGGCGAAGTACTGGCGAGAGGGCCCGAACGTATGCCTGGGGAGCTGGCAAGCTTGGAAAACGCTTGTGGGAGACGCTTGCAGGAGCGCTGGAAACCATGCCTGGGGAAGTCTGCAGGCTCCAGAAGCAAGCTTCCCAGGACATTCGTAGGAGCTGCGAAGGACCTTTGGGAGAGCTTCGAGGCCCGCTTATTGGAAAAGACGAGTAGGGAAACGCTTCTCGGGACACGCTGCGACCTCAAGCAAGGCGCTCCAGGGATGCCTGACCAGGAGCCCTGGAGAGGAGCTGGCGTAGCCCTGCTGGCCGGCTTCTTCTCTAACAACCCTTTTAGCTCTCACAAGGAGCTATCCGGGGAAAGCTTCCAAGGAGCTTCGACAGAGCTTCGAAGGACCTTCTGGAGAGCTTCGAGGCACGCGTATTGGGAACGAGTAGGAAAACGCTTCTCGGGACACGCTGCGATTTCAAGCAACTTCCTCCGGGGATGCCTGACCGGGAGCCTGGCGGTGGAGCTTGCGTAGCCCTTCCGGCTGGCTTCTTCTCTAACAACCCTTGTAGCTCTCACAAGGAGCTATCTGGGAATCAGCATCATCACCCTCATCATCACCCTCATCATCAGAATCATAATCATCATCATCCACATCATCAGCATCAGCGTCATCATCATCAGCATCATCAGTATCATCATCATCATCAGCAACCAGCGCGCTCGCACACTCGTCAGGGTCCCACTGGGATCTGCAAAGAAGGGCACACACAGGCACACACACGCCTCCCTGAATGCCGCTCTCCTCTCGTAGCTGCCGAGCAGCGGCTTCGAGAGCGAGGTGCCGCCACAGCTGGTCGACATGTTGACGTACGCCTTGTCGACAAAAACCGCGAACACCCTCTCGGCCAGGGTAGACGGCGGCGCTGATGACAGCAGAAGAAGTAGTCCTCATAAGAGTAACCCTCCCTTCGTCCTCCTCCTCGTGCCCGCCATCCTCATCATTTATCTCCCTGGTAATGGTGATGCTGGTGCTGATGATTATGATGCTGATGATTCGAATGATGATGACGATGACGATGACGATGCTGATGATGATGATGATGATGATGATGATGATGATGATGATGATGATGATGATGATGATGATGATGATGATGGTGGTGCGGATGGTGGTAGCGATGAGGATGATGATGATGGTGATGATGCGGATGGTGGTAGCGATGAGGATAATGATGATGATGCTCAGGATGTTGGTGATGATGTTGATGATAATGCTGATGATGATGACGATTATGGTGCTGATGATGTTGATGATGATGCGGGTGATGATGATTATGCGAAAGTATGACGGTAATGATGTTATGATGTCAATGATGAAAATGATTATCATGATGATGGTGGTGGTGATGATGATGCAGATGAGGATGGTGATGCTGATTATGAGCATGAAGATGGTGCTGCTGCTGATGATGATGATGACGACTATGAGCATGCTGATGATGATGATGATGACGATGATGATGACGATGGCGATGATGATGACGATGATGTTGATGATGATGATGAGGAGGATGAGGAGGAGGATGAGGATGATGGAAATGGGGGCGATGATGAGGAGGGTGATGATGATGATGATGATGATGATGATGATGATGATGATGATGATGATGATGATGATAATGATGATGACGACGACCAGGAGGAGGAGGAGCAGGAGGAGGAGGAGGAGGAGGAGGGAGGAGAACGAGGATGCGGATGATGTAGGATGGCGAGGAGGTGGAGGGGGAGCAGGAAAGGAGCAGGAGGATGGGGAGGGGGACCAGTGTAACCCCAGATTCATCAATGATGTTGGAATACACCCTCCCTCCAAACTCCCTCTTCATAGGCCCCTACATAGATTCATTTCCACTGGCGGAATTGCCACGTTGGGGGACAACTGTGTGAACATTCTGAAGCGTGCCAAAACCATTATCAGGACCTCAACGCCACGAATCAATATGACTGGTGCGACTTTACGTTCCTAAACCGTGCCAAAACACGATTCCTGGCTGGGACTTCAACTCCGCGAATCAACGTAGCCGTTGCGCCCTGACGTTCCCGATTCGTTCAAAGCAAATCTGGAAACACAGAATTTCTGGTACGTCAACCATGAGAGCCAATGAAACCCTTGCGTTGGTTCAAAACGAACGTGCACAACGCTAAGGCGAGATACGCCTGTTGAAAAAGAACCGCCCTCCATCCGCGAAGCTCTTGCAAAATTTTAAAGGCGAATGCGCTCGTCGCGACGGCGAGCGCCACATTTTGAAACTGACCCGCCCTCAACCCATTAAGCTCCTGCAAGTTCTGAAAACGAGTGCGCGCGGTGCCAAGGCAGAAATCAAATCTTGAAAGCGACCCGCCGACAATCAATGAAACACTTTCAGTTTGTAACAACACTTGCTAGCGGCGCGAAGGCGAGAACCAACATTTGAAAACGACCCGCCCTCAATCCATGAAGCACGGGCAAGTGTTTGTAAACAAATGAGCACTGCGCTCAGACGACAACCACATGAAAACTGGCCTGCCCTCAATCCGTGAAGCTCTTGCATATGGTTTGAAACGAGTGTGCGCGGCGCTACGGCGAGAGCCACATTTTGGAAGCGGCCCGCCATCCACCTGTGAAAACGGCGCCAGTGTTTGAGCTTGAGGCCCATAGATGGTCTGGAACTCTCAGGCGAAACGCCCAACCCGCCCCTCCGACTGGCCTCGGGGCGCGACAGGGAAGACCTATCCATAAGGAGGAGGAGGTGGAACGTGCCCAAAGGAGGAGGAGGAGGAGGGCGGAGGCGGAATCGGAATCGAGCTCTGGGGGCAGTTCAGCCAGCTCGTTTGTGTGAGAAGCCTGGGCCACTCCTGGCGATTCTCGCCAGTTGGTAACTCAAAACTGCTTGCCCATATGCCTTGAGGACCTGCCAAGGTATTTACGTGGTCGCCGCGCGAGCAGGAACACTGCACGGGCGGTCTGGAGCACCGCTTCTGGCCGACATAGCCGACAGACTCCCCCGCACCACCACAAACCATAGAGAGTGCTCCCGTGAGTGGCTAGTTACACCCACCACGCGTCGCTCCTGGCCCAAAGATTGCGGGTGCACGAGCACAGTCCCGCATTCCAAGGTCGGGAGGAGGCGAAGGCAAGGCAACCAACTCCCCACCGTGAAAATTCAAAAGTGCAGAAGGTTAAAAGTTAGGCCCCAGCATGCCGCTCTCCAGGCTGCTGCAGCCTACTCGATGGGGGGGGGGCCGTTACGATCCACGACCGACTCCACAGCGACAACGACAGGCTCGACGACATGAACGGCACTCCTTCTGTCGGTCGCCCTCCCCCTCTGCCTCCGAACTGGAGGCTGCAGAACGAGACTCGCCGAGGCAACTCCAGGATGCCTCAGGGCCGCGTCCAAAGTCACTTGACCTCGCTCCACCACTTGCAGTAGACGGTGTGACTAATGTCCAATCTGCACCCGCTGGATAGCAGTCAAGCGCACACCCGTGGAGGCAGGCACACTTACTTGACTTTCCCCTTGCCCTTGTCCTTGTTGGACTTGCCACCCTCGAGCTCCTCTAATGGCTCCTGCGCCGCCCTCTCCAATGGGCCGCGGGGGGCGGGCCCGTGCTTGAGAACCCCGCCGTTCGACGCCAATGCCTTGACCAAGTAACTATGAAGGGTGAAGGACACGGCGCTCGTCGCAATCGTGACCTTCACGAGACCTGGTTTGCCCTCCTTCTGCTTGGCGCACTTGCACTTGCACTATAGCACTTTGCCGAAGGGGGTCCCTTGGAGTCCTGCCTTCCTTGACCGCCTGCTTCTCCCAGAACGAAGCCAGCAACACCTTCATGGAGTCTTCCAAGTTGTACTCCGCGACGCCCTGCATGAGACCTGCGAAGACGTGCGCGTAGGGTGGCCCCAGGGCATCGAGAGCTGCTGTGTCGTTCTTGGCGGTTTGGGTGGCGTCGTGGTGGACGCGACCCTGCTCGAGCATGTGCTTGGCGACGCTGCCCTTGACGTCCACGAGAACGGTGTTCCACAACATTCCAATGATCTCTCGAATACCCGCAGCGCTCATGAGCGACAACTTCGTGAGGACCACGAACAACTTCCCGACCGTGCTGACGTCCTCTCCTGCGGCCAAAAGCTCCGAGATATGTTTCTTGTTGGGCGGCGCGTCCGTGACTGCGCTGGCGTCGCCTCGACGCTTCAGGCCCCAGCTCGGGGTCGTGAGGAAGGACATGGCGGCCTCGATACTGGTAGCGTTCTCGATGTGTCGGGACGAGGTCCGCGAGAATCGTGAAAGAAGGTGCGTGTGTATGGAGATGCTTCTGCAGAAGCTCAAATGTCTGGGCCCGATGATCACAGAGATGTCAATCGACTCGATCGGGGTGACGACCCCCATACAAACGTGACCTCTCGCTGCATCTGTCCCCTCGAGCGACTCCCAGGAGTAGGTGTCGCTGCGCTGTCTTGACACAACTGAAAGCCGTTAGGCAATAGGGGCACACATTCGTAGTCACGAGCCTGGTCCATAAATCTCTCTGCCGCGGAGGAGAGGAGGAGGGATGAGGGAGGAGTTGGGAGGAGGTCGAGAAGGAGGAGCGACCGTAGTATTCGAAGAGGAGGAGGATAAACAGGAGGAGGAGCTATTTCAGGAGCTCCCAAAATCACGCCGAAGAGGAGGACAAATCGGGAAGGAAGCGGAGGACGACGCGGAGCAGGAGGTGGAACCCGCAAGCCCACCGGGCCCTGGCAACAGCCGCAAGCATACATGACGGGGACGTACTGCTTCCCAACGCCCGTCGAGTTCGTCTCCGGCTGCGCCTGCGCCAGCGCGCGACGGCCGGGGGACGGGAACAGGAGGAGGGCGGGAGGAGGAGGAGGAGGAGGAGGAGGAGGAGGAGGAGGATAGGAATGAATAGCAGGAGGAAGAGGAGGAGGAGGAGGAGGAGGAGGAGGAGGAGGAGGAGAAGGAGGAGGAGGAGGAGATAGATAGATAGATAGACGCAGCCTCTCGGAATTCGGTGCCTTTGGGCCTGGGCCTACAAGAAGATTTAGTAAGGGGAGCCACACAGGGGGGGAAAAAACAACAAACAAGACAGTCTACTCGTAGCCGTCAGGGGGGAGAGAACAAAGAAAGTCGTTCTGCTCGAACGCCTGATGTATCCATTTTCCTTCAGTGATCCTCTGCCGTTTGTGCTGCCTGGCACCCCACGCATGTAACCTCCAATCCACCCACTCACCCGCCGTATCATTCCACCTCTCCTGATCATCACAAACCTCCCTCCACTGCAATCCATAACACAAAAAAAGGGGTCTTCCCATCTCCACGCATGGATCTTCCGACCATGTCCTTGGTTACCCGTCGCGCGCACTACGCGGTCGAGGTAGGGCCTATCCTTGTAGGTCAGAGCCTGCGGCAAGATACGTGTCGGTCCGTACCTTCGCATTCTGGCAGCATGTCCTGCCCATTTGTGTGTCTGACAGAGAACGAATCTGTCCCAAGTCACCACCTCATGCCGATCATGGGTATCTTGGATGTTCCTTTCACCTGTCTCTGGAAATCTGGAGCCGTTTCATCGGGGGCTTTCCGAAGCCCCAACATCTGTCTAATCATACGGCAGTGCATGACTTTGAACTGTCTGAGCTGTCGCCTAATGTACAACAGGCTGCCTGCACAAAAGAACGCCGCATTTTTCACAAAACTCTCTAACAGTTGCAATCGTCGTGCCAGCTTCCCCTGCTCGGCACACAATACAGCACGGTGACGTGTAAAGGCCGCCCACCCTCTAGACAACATGCGTTGCACACATCTCGTCGCGTTATGGTCCATAGTGATCCACGCTCCCAAACACCTAAAACCCTCATTCCGAGATATCCTGGGTATCCGAAAACTCTCCAAGACAATGCCTGCTGAATCGTCCGCCGCTGTTGTCACCCAATAGCAGTCCTTCACGTGCACAACGCACTTCAAACTCCGGACTACTTCGTGCCAGGATTCAAACATCTGAGTCAGCATCCGCGAGCTAGTGGCGTATAAGAAATAGTTGTCCGCAAAAATCATGATTGGTAATCTTTTGAGGTCCCGAAGAATGTTCCTCTTCGCGGCCCCTTCCTGCATACTCTCCCGCCCAAGACACGCAATATCCGCCGCTTCCAGAGGGTGCCCCCGTTGGTTTTTCTTGCATATCCCCGCGAATATTTCCGCCGCCACATCAAGATAGCACGTGAATCCCCCTGGAGCCTCAGGGCCCCCATGGGGTATAGACCTGGTTCGACCAATTCCGTCCGTGGGGTCCAGTCCTGTCACGCAAATGCCGGATGCACCTCTCCTCGCTTCCCGTACTCTCGCGGCCGTCGCAATGCGCGGAACGTGCCGCACCTCATGCATGGCAATCCATGCCGCGTGGTCGACCATATCGAAAGCCTTATGGAGGTCCCCCACCCCCAAGCACAGTGGTTCGGCAAACTCATTCGCTCGTTCCACGAGCAGGCGTGTACTCGATACTATGTCATGCACCCGATATTGTTTTCTACTGGCAAACTGGTACTCCGTTAAAACACCCAAAACCATAGAACAAAGCTTAAGTAACACCGAAAGGATCGCAATCGGTCTGAAATCCTTCACCTTTTTCGCCCCGAAGAATTTTTGAAGAAGAATAACCTGGTGACGGTCCCACAAAGGTTCCACCTCCTCCGTCGGGTGATTCAAAATACGCAATACGTATAGTTCCGCTAATATGCTTAACGCTTCGTCACTCAATGTCTGCCACATCTCTGCAACCAGCATATCGTCCTTCGAGCAAGTCTTCCCATCTCTCACGCGCTGCAGCTGTGCCCGCAAAAGATGTGCGTTCACAGGCGGTAGACTCGCGAGATCCGCTCGCGCCCACCGTTGATGAATCCACTCTGGGATTGGGGTATGTTCTGGGTCGGAAAATAGAGTAATGTAGCATGCATGTACCATCCGTCGCATTTCGTCGTGATCCGTCGTAAGTCGGCCCTCCTCCCCCTCCAGCGCCTTCACCTGCACCATCACTCCTCTATCCTTGACCGACCCCTTCTTCGCAAACGTGGCCGTCAAGCGAAGATCCGCTTGCTGTCTCGCGAGAGCATGTCGCTCCGAGACCAAAGCATGCCCTATTTGGTGTCTGAGCACTGGATCCGCTTCCATGTCTCGCATGGATTGAAGTTCTCTGTCCAACTGAACCTGTGGATGATGTTCTGGTAATTTGGGCGTCGTCGTCTTCTTAGGCCTCCCGCATTTCACCGCCGTCGTCGCAACCACCTTCGCACAAAAAAACGATAAAGTCGGCAATTCATTACCCATCCCATCCCTCATCCTCAACACCATGGCCCCGTCGGGCTCCTCACAAGTGTCGGGGTCCAACCGGCGCGTCATAGCGGTCTTCCGCTATCGTGGCAGGTAACCCGCAGGCGCAGCACTGAACAGAGCGCAAGCCGATCGTACCTCGCGGTAACTGTCGGGGCTCACACTGGCAAGGAAGAAGCATTCCTCCTGTGGCATATCACGAACATGTAGACGAGAGGGTAGGGTAGAGAGTATGTCGCCCCAGAGAAGGTAAGGGCGTTTCACGCACCACTTGTGTCGACTCCTGGCGCTGGGCGCACCTCCGATCTTGGCGAGACTGTCAGCGATCTCGTTGCCTTCGGCCCCCTGGTGTCCTTTAACCCACACGGCCCGAACCTCGAACAACCGCTTCACCTGCTCCCAAAGCAAAGATAACACCTCAGACATCAAGACGTTCTGCTTAGGTGTAAATTTAGAATCGATGAGACCGAGAACGTAGGTAGAGTCAAAGAGAACCTCGATGCATGCGCCGAGAGGGATAGTAGATTGGACACCGCCCTGGGCCTGCGCAAGTAACCGCAAGCACAACTCAATTTCACCTGCCAGTTCAGCCGTGTTGTTGGTCAGCCGCATTGCACCAAGGTACATGGGATTTGTGATGTCCAGAACCACTGCACCGCATGCCTGAAAACATATCTTCTCGCACGTAGACTGAGCATGGGGGGAGATGGAATAGGCTACGAACCCCACCCACACTGCGTGGCTCTACCCTTTCTTGCTTTGAAATGACCGTCTGAGAACAACCTGAAGCTCGGCGCCGCGCAGGAGCTCGGGGCATCTAATCCCAATGCCTCGTCGCACTGCCTACTCATCGTGAAGTCCGTTTGAATCCGCGCCAAAGGTTCTGACGCGAACTGCGACTGGACCACGGGCTCAAAAACAAACTTCGGCCTCGGGGTTCCGAAAGCCCGAAACAAAAGCGGTAAATGATCACTTTTCGACGCACTAGTGTTTCTAGTGCTGACTGAATAGGCTGATTGCGGCAGACTGCAAGGCACAAAGACATGATCTATCTGGCGCGGCTCCACCGTATGATTGTAGAAGCAGGTGGCCTGGCACGCGCCACCTTGCCCCCGCGTGGTCGCCGCAGTCAAATCATTTACAAAAAGGTTTTCGCGCACAAGGTGTCCCTTCCACCCCGCTTCGCCAGAAACGTAGGGCCCGACGTGCCTAGAAATATGACCTTGGATCCCTAGGGGATCGTTCGAGTCCTGAAAAAAACCAACACCGCATGACCCCTGGGTGCCTGGTCAACCAAAGGCTGCAACTGGTCAACATCACTGAAGAAACGCGCTCTAGAATCAGAAGGCTCGAGGTGGCTGCTGATCAGCCAGAGGGGGCCGAGGACAGAAGAGAGAAAAGCAATTGCAACAGCTGAATCAGAAAAAACTGGGAGACGACTGACACAGGCCCTGTACTCACGGCGGATTACAATCGCGTTCCTCCGTGCGAGCCCCCGCGTAGGAGGACCACAGAAAATCGCGCGGCCGGAAATCTCAGCAGCGGCATCACGTTGTACATTGGTGTACTCTTGCAGGCACGGGATGTTCCGTCTGAGTTCTTCCTCGAGCAACTCGAAACACTTTGCAGCCTGGCGGCTCGGAACTCCCTGTGCGTTCCAACCCGCAATCACCAAATCTGCTCTGGCATCGAATCTGTTACGAGCGGGCCTGATGCCCGCAGACCGTGCTTGTCAGGATGCACGCGGCGGATCGTTTATCATGGTCAAGTGTTCTTCCAACTTCAGATTTACACCTGCGGCATCGAGGACAGCCTGACTATTTGGCGCAGCCTTTAACATATGTGTCGGGAATGCTCGCAAGCGCAACGGTGCCTCTGATCCAAACTTTGGAATATGTTTCCGCAACAATACCACACTTCCCGTGCCCTTC